ACCAAAGAGAAATTGAAGTCTTGATTTTTAAAAATGAAATCCACTAAATCATGAATGACTTCAATATCAACATCAGCAAGGGGTAAGCAGTATACCTTACAAGATATGAATGGTGGAAAGTATTTAAGGAGTTAAGGAGCCAAAGATAAACCTCTTGGGCCACACAAAAGTGGCTCTGATGAGTTAAACGCCAGGCCTTTATCAGGCTAAGTTATTGACTAGGCAATCAAGGAAATCGCATCAACCTTGTCAATATGCAAACAAATCCCAATTTAATAAATTAAGTGCCGCATCATGGTTGGTCAGTAGCAAATTCATGTAATAAATAGCACACATTTGCTTTTAAGGCCTCAGCCCAAAGGCCGAAGCATAGTTAGCATTGAAACAAATAATCCATATAAGCGAATTTGACAAATGCAATCGCTTAACCCTTATCATTATGCCAGCCTTATGAGAATCTATCATCCGACTTGCGATACCCTGGTAATCCGATCGATTAAGCAAATATCAATGAAGAACAACCTGTCTCAATAATCTAAGGAATTTTTAAGGAAGAATAAAATTAAAAGATAGATCCAGAGGCTAAATGATGTTTTGTAGCCCACCTTTGATTTGTTATTCTTTATAATATGCCCCTCATCAAGAATTAGATACTCCCAGACAAACGATCTGTCAAGAAGAATATATGGATTATTATAATATACCATATGTGAAATTAAATATAGTAGAGAAAAACATACAATTATTTTAGATAGTCCATGATAAAACTTTGTTCAATTAATTTTGATATAATGTGGTAAGAGAATCTTAAGCATGAAATAAAGCCCAGGGTTAGATGATAGTCCGGGCCGATCAAGTAGTATCAGAAGTACAGATGATGGAAGTTTAACCTAATGCTAGTAATAAGTATAGCCAATCAGATATTTGATAAATAATATAGAATCTAACTTTGGTACATTAATTCTCTTATGCATCTCCGATTTCTCTGACGAGGATAGGCATAAGAAAACCTCAAAAATGCAAATAAGCTATATTAAGCAGAACTAAGGAGCTATATTTTTGCAAGAGAATGAAGCTTTAGCCAATGATTAGTAATCTACCAGTAATGAATTAAGCCTATTTGCATTTTCCATAAAACTTCACCATGCTAGCTATCTTATAAGTGAATCTTTATCTATACTGTACATTAGGTTTGACATTGCTTAGGGCTAGGCATCAATTTCAATGGGATTCGAATCTGTAATATGCAGCTACAGAGGCAGGAAGATTCACTTGGGGCCCGATATACTGGGGAAACTGATGAACCACCAGGACCATAGACAAGATAGATTCACATAGTATAAAACAAAAATAAGAATACAATTCTGTAAATATATATGCCTAAGCAAAGATTAACAATAAAAATAACAAAAAGGTAAATAACGGACTTAAAAAAGGAGAGATCTCGTCTAACTGAGCCATACGAAGCAATCACCAGGTTTCCCTCAATCAAGCGGAGACTGGAAATAAGATAAATGTGTAGTTAAGCAAAAATATTTTTCTTAAAAGCAATAATCTTATCATAAAGGTAAAGTAAAAATGAAGATTAATGAATTCTGAACGTCTACTAAAAATAATATCGTGTTTTGCAACTAGTTTACTTGACGATTCCAGATACATTTTTAAGTGGTCATTTGCGATCAATCTGAAATAAAAATATTTAGCTAACATTACAGGAGGTAACATTAGCATATTTGTGCATGTGATCCGTAAGAATAAATCCTTTTAAAAGAAATAACCAAAGGCTGGAAAATTAAAACTTTATATAACCTTAATGACGACTAATGGAATATAAAGAAGAATCAATTATACCGATAACAATGAGTTCGAATGTTAAAAATATCGCTTTAAAAGCATTGCATAAAAAGATAATTAAATAGCTAAAGGCTAAACCAGAAGCTCAGATTGGGAAAATAAGATAGCGAGCGACGACAAGCTGGGGTTACGATTAGCTAAAAACATACTGCTTCTAAGCATAATCGGCAGTACCCTCAAAGATATCCCATAAACCATTCAGATAAAATCTTTCAAGTAGCTGATAAAAACAAGGAATATTCCTTATTTCTAGTAATATCAATTTAAACTATCAATATCAACTGAATATACATTGAAAAACCTCGACGCATAAACAGTTAATTTAACTTAATTATGGATATCGAAAAAATTTGTAAAGAATTCGTGTTAAAAAAAACATTTTAAAAGACAGACTTACATTCCACAGTCTCTTTTAGATTTCCTGTCTTCTGGATATAGTACTGGCTGAAGATGCCCAGCGCCAGGAGCAACAGCCTCAGGCAAAAGAAACTTGTGTATCTCTGCCAGCCAATGTCTGGTGAGAGTAGCAGGACAGATTACAAGTGATATGGGGCGCAGGCCCAAATGATATGTACTGGGATTTGATGAATAAAGGGCACTATTTGTAGAACTTCCTGAAAAAGTTTGACATTTGAGAAGGTCCCTGGAGTGCAAAGTGTGTGAGTCATAGTCAGCTTCCTCTTTTACAACCTTAATGGAGGATGAAGGCGCATCGAGCGTGGTCTCACATGATTCCTTCATCTTTGAGATGCTACCACAACTCGACTTGATATGATGATGGTGTAGATCAAGAAGGCAAAGGGTTTGTAAGGTTTTTCCTAGGCCGAGATCATCCGCTAAAATCCCATGAAGGCCGTATTTGTTAAGGAAAACAAGCCAATTTAGACCGTCCTGGAATAAAAAGAAAAAAACTACACTATAGATGTGTGTAAATAATACTTATGAAAGGGATTAGTTTGCACAGGTTAATTTAAGGACCGATGGACGTTGTTTGACCTTGTTTTCGCAGCTTGGTCATATTAGCAGGAAGACCTAGAAGAACGCACCGTGTCGGAAGTCCATAGAATGCGTGATAATTTCCAGTCGGAGAATGGACTTTATACATTCACAGACGATTCGACAGCATCGTATTCGGCATCGTCAGTGAGCCTTCCCATTCTTAGCATCGCACTATAACCTGTCAGAGACAAGTGAGGTCGATCCTTTGGCTAGTTGTCTGCTAAAAGTTTGTGGCATCTCTACTTCTGTCCTGGGCTATTTACCCATCCCATATCCTCGTATCACCCCTTCAATATCACAATTTCTTGTTTATCTAAACCTATTTGAAACCTATTCCTATTCCCCGCTGGTTTCCACATGTCTCCCACTGTGCTTGGAGTGTTGATCCAAGGCTGCGATTTAATCCGCGATCCTGTCTCTTCGAGTTCTATTAAAGTGCCCCTCTTGCTACGTAGGATTCTTTCATTAGCTGCCTATTTCACTTATTTCACTCCATCGCTGTCACCGTATCCGTGCTACTCAAGGCGCTATGTTCTAAATTCTGCCTCAAGCCTTTGATAGCATGTATACACCAGTTTCACTGAGCAAGCATTTAAAGTCTGAATTCTCAATTGGCATGGCAAGCTAACTTGACGCAGCAGATTCCCTTATCACTGTGCGACATGTGCACCGAGTAAATCTCGTGGTCAAGCCTTTACTTCATGGACCACGTCCACGAGTAAACTTATCTTCTAACTAGAAATCGTCACCACCGTTTCTCTCACTCCTCTATCTCTAATGCCAAGTCTATGACTTTCTCTTGCATGCCGACCCCCAAATATGATATTTATGTTTGATTGAATAGGCTCACTGTAGACGTCTTCTATTGGTTTACGATTGATCTCCTTGTAATTAATTTCCTTAAAATTAAAAATATTACCTTTGTCCAGTCGTCTTCTGTTTGCTGATATTGCTGTTCCCTGAGTTTGCTTAGGCAGTATGCAAAGTTTTCGCTAATCCTATCTCCTTCAAGTCTGCTGTGTAATTAGATTTCTTTGAGTCAATATATCGATGGATTAACAAATATTGAGTCTTCTTGCATTTCCCTCATATGCAGCCTTTCTGTCGATTTCTACTCAATTTAGTGTCCCGTCCGTGCGATGTGTTCTGCTATTTAGGATCCTTCAGTGTCCATGTTTCTGCAGATTCTTTGGTGTTTCTTGATTCGTAGGCTGATTTTTCTTCCTGTTTTTGGGTTTACTTCCATTTCGAGTAGAAGTGTTAGGTGAAGAGATTCGAAGGTCGGTTCCACCAGAAGACGACGGCG